TATATATATATATATATATATATATATATATATATCATATGTACTTATATTCGCGTTTGAGTGCTTGCTCATTCGTTCGTCCGCTCGCTTGTTCGCTCGTTCGACGTCTATTATTAGTCCTCGGTCATCGGAGAGGAGCTTCTACGTGCACAAGCAACGACGCAACGACACGACGACGTACGCACGCATCGACGTTCAACGCAGAAAAGTCGCGCCTCCTCGAAGAGAGAAGTCGTCAAAGTACAAAATAGTCGCTCGCTACGTTTCGGAAATTCATCACCGTTCACACATTTGACAAACGCTCGTGTTACTATCGCGTTTGGTTACATTCGGTGACTACGCAAGACGAAGAATTTCGGTTGTATCATCTGCTCATTGGACCTCAGGAAGGATGATTCTCTCACACTCTTCACTGTGAGTTGGTCATCTCTGCTATCTCCGCCTCTGCTTCCGCCTCCGCCTTGGCTTCCACCAGTTCGCGGTCTTCGCGCATTTCTTTGTATGATAAGTGAAATCGGTATGCGAAATCCTGGAATTCGATTTTCGACGCTATGCACGCAGGTGGTGGACGTTACGCCGGTCATTTTACGATCGTCACGCATAAGCGTAGATAGCGTCACTATAAACATCGATTTACTTAAATTATATTCGATTGATCCTCTATTAATTTCTGGTTTGATTTTTAGCCCAACTCTTCTTTGATTAACTCCGAGTGACAAGAATAATCTGTGGAGATCAGTCCCTCGAATTCACAATATTAAAATCTGAACTTGCCAAAATTACGTGAATTCCAATGTCTGCCTTTGATCTATCGGGACTCGTTATATATTTATCGTTGAATAATCAGCATCATTCCGTTTTGTTTTTTTATGTGTTATTATTTTCGACTAGTAAAGTAAGTGCCATTATGTGCAGTACAGAATATCGAACAGTTGCACTTTAATGATACAGTTTCTGAGTGTTTATCGCAAGCGTGAAATAACATGATGAAATAGCGATGAAATCCAAAACTGTTTATATCACAGTATAAATTTATCACAATATAAAAAACATTTTTTACTTCTGTTAAAATTGGTCTTTATTGAAATTTTCGTGTTAAATTTTTAACATACTCATGTGTAAATTTAATATATTGTGTTTATGTTATCTCAATATTTTATGTTGAATCGACATTTAACATATATAAATGTTAAAATAATACTTGCAAATGTTGAAATAACACATTTTATACTTAAGTATCGATTAACATATTACGGATATTAAATTTGTATTAATTTTTGACATAATATTTATATTACTTTTCAATATATTCAGTTTATGTTAAATTAAAACGAAAATTTATGTGACTTATTTGGGGCATGCGAAATGTGTTAAATTTAACACAAAATTTTTGATTGTGTATACCTCGAGTTTTTCTTCAACTTTGCGTAATATATGCTGCCTTTCTTAACTCAAACACAATTATATATGTTATATAAACTCGTATTATTATTTCACTGATACTTCATTTAAAAAGGTGGTATAAAATGCTGAAAAAATGAAATATATAACATATGGAAAAATAGTGACTGGATTATTTCGCACGTTCGTTCTCTTTCATTTTCAGTAATTTTTTTGTATAATATGAAATCGCACGCATGATAAAAGATTGGCGTGCATAGTCGCTCATCGATAAATTTATGCAATTGAAATTGAGTCTATGACGTGTATCGTTTAATGTCTCGCGTGCTTTGCGACGTGTTACCATAACTGGTTTGTGCCTATATTGAAGCAATGTGCTTGTTGTTTTTGTCGTAATATTCTTTACGCATCAGTAACAAGAGGAATGTACACGTATATACGCTTTTAACTATGTGGAATGTATTTTGCTATATATATATAGGATATTACAAAATTAGTCCAATAAAGTTTGAAAGAAAATAGAGACTTCAAAATAAATACTTTTAGTTAATATTATTTGTCTCTAAGATGTTTTGTTTCAATATTATATGGTATAAATAAATTATATGAAATATGAAATTCCTCTTTTAAAGCTCAGCTATCTCGTTCTAGGCATACTAATTTATGACGTCATAGTTAAGAAATGACACGTAGTAAGTTTTTTGTGTCATACAGCTTTTTGTAATTTTCCTTAAAAATCATAATAGTTTTTTAATCTTTAAATCTGTAAAGTATGCGACAAACTGAGATGTCTCCGATATGTCATATAGAATTGCAAAATAATTCTTAAAATAACTGGTTATTTTTTAAACATCTCAGCTATATTTTGGCCTCGTCGATCATCAGGTTTATCTTTGCTAAACTTATTTTTATGGGGACATTTAAAACGCTTATTTATGAGACTTCTATTAAAACAGAAGCAGAATTAATAGCCCGGATAAGCTGCTGCGGCAAATCAGATTCAAAATATCTCTGAAGTCTCCGAACGTATGAGATCAATGTTATCGATGATCAATGTGATCAATTTCGACGATGTCAGCTATACAGGATGTTCCAAACTAATATTCCTGTAGGTGCAGATAGTGCAGGTAAAACTAATAAGCGAAACTGAGCAGTAACGTTATGTACCATTTTGAAAAATTCACAATAATGAGAAATTAATTATTTTGTCTAAACTAGCATGAGTTTACTAGAATGAGCGCACAGGAAGGGTAAGCTAGACTCTGTATAAAGAAAAGTAGCTTACTTCTGAAGATCTTTCAATAACGATGAGTATCACCTAATAGTGAGGCGTGTTTCTTTTTGGCACACAGTCCTATATCACATGCCGCTTATTGTTTACTGCGTTACGTCGCTTTTAAAAATCAGTTGATATTCATTGTTACTGGGGGGTATTCAGAAATAAGCTATTTTTTTTTACAATGTCTACTTTTTCCGTTCATTAGTTCAGGTAAAATAATTAATTCCTAGCTAACTATTGCAAATTTTACAAAATAGTGCATGTCTCTCCTGCTTAGTTTCACTCGTTCTACTTGCACATCACGGTAACCGAGATTAGTTTGGGATACCTTGTATATTGAAATTAATGAAGGAATTTTTGAAAGCATTTACTGTAAAAATAGTTAATCGCTTTCATGTATTTGTCCCATTTTTTGTTCAATATTAAAATATAATTTGATTTTTCCACTTATATGTTTGCTTATCGTTGAAGTCACGAAACTTCTGTTCTATATAGTATTAAAACAAAACGTCGTAGACAAAGATAGTATTAACAAACAAGAATTTATTATAATGCCCTCATTATTATTAATTTATTATTTTAATTTCCTTTCAAAGTTTGTCGGTATAGTTCTTTAACCATCATGTATACTACATGGGCTGAAAAGTCCCGGGATTTACAGTAGGTGGTGTCACTAGAAAATGAACATGATTTATTTCGAGAGGTTCATCTGTCACTAGTTTATGTGTGAAGTTTCATGACATTTCGTTCATTCGTTTACAAGCTACAGTCGTTTAAGTGTCGCTACCTTCGCCTTCGTAAAAAAAATGGAAAAACAGGAATATCGCATATTGATCAAACATTGTTTTTTGATGGGAAAAACTCCTGAACATTTAATGAAATGGTTGAAGAAATGTTATCCTACATCTGCTCCTTCGAGAACAACAGTTTATCGATGGTTTAGTGAATTTAAAATGGGTCGTACAAGCACCGAAGACGCACCTCGCTCTGGAAGACCAAAGAGGCTACGAATGCGAAAATCGTAAAGCAAGTGCATCGAATCGTTTTGAATGATCGTAAAGTGAAGTTGCGCGAGTTAGCTGAGGCCGTTGGTATCTCAAAAGAACGGGTGGAATATATTTTGCACGATGTTTTGGATATGAAAAAGCTATCTGCGCGATGAGTGCCGCGTTTGCTGACCGTCGACCAAAAACAGCAGCGCGTTGATGATTCAACGGCTGGTTTGGCGTTGTTGCAGCGTAATCGAGCGGACTTTTTTCGACGTTTTGTGACGATGGATGAAACGTGGATCCATTACCATACGCCTGAGTCCAATAGGCAGTCTGCAGAGTGGCTGAAAAGCCACGAAAGCCGACCAAAGCGGCCAAAAGACCAACGCTCGGCCGGGAAGGTTTTGGCCTCCGTTTTTTGAGATGCGCATGGCATAATCTTCATCGATTACCTGCAGAAGGGAAGAACAGTTACGGGAGTGTATTATGCAGCGTTATTGGACAAACTGAACAACGAAATAAAGAAAAAACGGCCCCATATGGGGAAGAAAACAGTTCTGTACCATCACGATAACGCACCATCACACACGTCCTTGAAAGCGATGGCCAAATTGGACCAATTACGATTCGAATTGGTTGCTCATCCGACGTATTCTCCAGATTTGGCCCCCAGCGACTATTATCTGTTCCCAAACCTCAAGCGGAAAGGGAAAGAGATTCACATCGAATGAGGAAGTTATCGCGGAAACCGAGGCGTATTTCGAAGGCTTGGACATTTCGTACTACAGAAAGGGCATCGAAATGTTGGAAAATCGCTATACCAAGTGTATCGCACTCGAAGGCAACTATGTTGAGGAATAAATATAATTTTGCTCAAAAACGCTTGTTTTCATAAAAATCCTTGAACTTTTCATCCCATGTAGTATATACAAAGTGTCTGATATGTTTTGTACAACTGCTCGTGTGAAGGTAAAATGGGTGAAACTGAGTAGAACACTCTTCCGTCATTTTTCAAAAAACCGCGCAAAGTTTTGAGTTATTAATGATTGAAAATGGCCATATAAAAAGGATTCCTTAATTAATAACTAAAAAAATTGCCTGTTATTTGTAAAATGGTAAAGGTCTTTTTTTATTCAGAGTGGCATAATCTATAAGTATATGACAGCTGTTATACCTAGCAACAGATATTAGTATATTGCACCTTGAATTTTGAATCTTGAATCTATCGTTATAGATATAACAGCTGTAACATATCGTTATAGATATAACTTATCGTTATAGAAATAACAGCTGTCATATACTTATATATTAGGCTACTCTGAACAAACAAATCCTTTGCCATTTTGCAAATAATATACAAATTTTTCAGTTATTAAAGAAACTTCTATACATGGTCACTTTCAATAATTAATAACTCGAAATTTTGCGTGGTTGTTTGCAAAATGGCAGAGGACTTATCTGCTCAGTTAAACGCATTCTACCTTCACATGAGCAGTTGTACGAAATGTACCAGATACCTTATATATAATGTAAGTACGAGTAAGTGTATTAAATTTTACCATATTAATTATCGACGGCCATTGTAATTGATTCGGCAACGTGAAGATGGTATGCACGTATTTATGTATCCACATTTTCATAGGTTACAAATATTATAATACATAATAATTCTAAATAATACTTATAAATAAATAACCGTTATAAATATATAATATTTAAAATACTTATTTAACTTTTATAGCCAC